AAACTAACTTACATTCCACTACTAGCCACCATCTTCAAACCTCTATATCTGTATTAGCCTATATGGATGATATACTATCAGTCATACGATTTGTCACATCACGATTTTTATCATATAATTTTCATAAATTACACAAATCAATGAAATCACACTTTTGAAATTTTCTTTAAACCCGTAGTTAAAATATATAAAACACTTTTAAAAAAGTTTATTACTGAAGTTTTTATGAATCGAATGCTATAAAAAATATAACGTATAAATTTCTCTATATAGTATATAATGCTTTTAAAAGTAGGCAATTATTTTAAATACTTTTGAAAGATTCTTTTCAAGCTTGCAACTTTTTAATAAAATTAATGATTCATTAGTTAGGCCAACATGAGATCTTTCGGCAAAATGCATGTGCGAAAGGTGGTTACATTACAACCATAATGGAGAAAATCAAGAAAAATTATTTTATAGTAAGTAAAATACGCATTAATTTGGGGTTTTCACTTTAAAATCTTTTTTTTTAAACAGTTTTAGCACTTTATTATACATATTTGCTTACTAAGTTTGAATTATTTATTTAAATTTAAAATAAAATTCTTGGCGCTTGATAATTCAGCTTAAGATAAGTAATTTAATTATTGAATACATAGTCGTTTGTTGAACTATTCAAGCTTATAAATTATTTGCTAAAATGAAACCTTTTATTTAGGACATTCTCAAGCAATATAACTTGCTAGTAATCAGGATTGTTATGATTAATTGAAGTAATCTTTGTAGAAATCAATGGGTGACTATCAAAAATATGGATCATGTGGGTGGCGCACCTAGGTTCAATATATACAATATGCAAATATGCAATGCAGGGTTAAAGGTTTCGTAGCGATAGCAGTAAAGATCTAGTACTGATTCATCTGCTACAATTGCTGCAGGTGGTGCTACCACATGACCTGTATTTTTGATAGCCATCCTGGTCGATTCTCTTCGTTAGAATTTAGTTTTATCATTTATTTTAGTTGATCAAAAAGAGGGTTGGTTTACGCTTTGATACTTGTTTGAGTGGGATATTTAAAAACACCTTTATAGCTAGATGATTTGTCATATCGGTTAATTTTATATATTATATGTATATTGTATAATTATAATTTAAATTTAATAAAAAAAAAAAAATAGTTCACTAGAAAGTGTATTTCGTATTTCAATAATATTTGGCAATAATATATAATTAATATTTTAAAATAAACTTCTTTTATTACAAAAAAGCGAGAAATTAAAACGGGTAGATATTTAGGTTAAGTAATTATTCGCTTATATGTTCATCTTCAGATTGATTATTTTTTCTTGTTTTTTTCGTTGTTTTAAAGCCGTTACAGTATCTTTATCTAAGTTTTTAACTGCTCTTCCTTTTGAATTCTTTTTTTTAGTTAAATAAACTTCTTGCACAAGTAGATCTTCCATATGCTCTATTCCATATTGATAACAAGTTTCCATGTTAGTGTATCCTTTTGAAGTATTTTGCGTCGTGTATTCAAAAAGAGGAAGACTATTTGGATCTGAATTTTGAAATGCACTATATATTTGATCGCTTAAAATCCATAATTGCTCACATCGATCTGGTGCAATACAGTCATCAATATCGATATCG